ACACACAGACTCAGACACACAGACTCAGACACACAGACTCAGACACATAGAGACTCGGACACAGACTCAGACACACCGACTCAGACACACCGACTTAGACACAGACACACAGACTCAGACACAGACACACAGACTCAGACACACAGACTCAGACACGCACGCACACACTGACAGACACACACACACACACACACACACACACACACACATTTTTGTTTTTAAATGGCACATATGAACTATGTTTGTTTAATTTGGCTGTATAAGAAATTGTGTTTAAATATAATTGATGATAAATTGCTATTTCCCTTTGCAATTTGACTGGCCCATTTTACCTGAACAGCTGGCCCATTTTACCTGAAACGGCTCATGCAAAAAAACTCGGCACTTCTGATGTTTCAAGAACTGTAGGGCCTAAATAATTTTATTTTATTACAAAATTTCAACACAGATGTATCAAAAACAGTCATAATTAATCATAAAAACACATGGATACTGCATATATGGTATTGTATTATTGTCCCAAACGATTTACCAAAAAGTGGCCCAATTTAGCTGATATCACCCTATGATTTAGCTACTGTATCGTGTGTGTTTCAGATTTTGCGCGCGCCTGGTTCACGCGCGCTCGTGTCGATCCGCTTTCGTCTTATTTCGTGTTTTAAGGTTCATTTGCGGCGTAAGAGCCGAAATCTGTGTATTAGCATTGATCTGAAGGCTATCGATCACCGATCGCATCGATACAGGAGGCGCAGATCGACTGTCTTTCCTCAACATCACAGAAGAGCAGAAAACACGACAATATCCTGACAAACGGGGGAAAGTTCAATCGACGAGCTGGAAAATAAAAACTGCATTATAATAGATCGTCCGAAAAGAGTGTAAAACACTGAATCACTGAGAAGAATTTAGCAGGACCTGAAAGAGGCATTAATAAAAGATTGTGATTTTATTTTCCAGTAGGCCTATAATTTAAGAGTTCATGATCATTGACAAAACTTTCTATTTATACTTTCTGTATATATGTATATATATATATATATATATATATATATATATATATATATATATATATATATATATATATATATATATATATATATTAGTTAATAAGAAAGTTTTTGTAAATGATTGATCTTATATATACACACACACATTGGGAAAACATGTTGTTTATTACACAAAGCAATTTGATCAATTATTTTGATATAATAATAGAACAAATTAATTCCGTGATGTAGCCTACTTAAAAAAATTAAATAAAATTAATAAACTATATTGGTAAAATATCCGATATTTTGTATTATAGCAGATATGATACGTCATGTGTAAAAAAAATACCATAACGATTGAAAAAGTCGTTCTTTCTCTGACTTTCTGTGTGTCTATAATCAATATCACCAATAGGCTAACTAGAATAAACTGTTTTATATCATATGAAAATATCTAAGGTTCCCATAAAAAAAAAAATTCGGGTCTAACTAATTTATTAACTATATTTAACAAATTAGCCATGGCTTATAAAATAATCATAATAATAATAAGACTGAAGTAAATGACCAAAGATATTGTTCGACGCAATTTGAAGCTTTGTAAAATTTAGAAACACAAGTATTAAAGAAAACAAAAAAGTAGGATATTACTGAGCATAAATAAATATGTAAAATGTAATAGTCGAAACATGATTTCCTCAATAAAGTTAAAATTACTAAATAAAAAGCACATGCTCACAAACATGTCACAGTGTTAATTCCTAAACTATTATAGCTACTATTATCATTATTTAATAATAACTGACCGACCTTAATGCAGATTATGTTCGAATGATATATTTGTATGAAATACATCTCCAGAATGACAGATTAATAAGTTTTAACAGGTCGGCTGCTTCTAAACAAATGATCAACTTTACGCAGAACAGTTTTTCGTATTTAAATAACTTCCGTCTCTTTCAGGGAAGTTTCACGCGGCGCTCGTGCACAAAGGCGCTCGTGCACGTGTTTCGCCGTTTACATTTGCACTTTCCATCCTGATTTTGCATATAAATACAAAAGTTGTACGGCGCATAAAATAAGTCTGTTTCGGGTGAGTTAAAGCTCGTGCTCGTGCACATCCATCACTCGCGCGCTGGGAGCCGATACTGAAGCACTGGCTGCACACACTCATTTATTCCGCTCATCAATACAGGAGACACAGCTCGTGTGTGTACGGTTGAGTTAGACAGCTGTAAAGTGAGGCCATTACTTCTGATCCCAGACCTGACCACATGTGCACAACATCAACAATCATATTCATAATCATAATATACTGGTACACATGCTTGCAGGTGAGATACAAATATGCGTCATTCCGCTAAAAACCAACAGCCAAAAATATAAACCAATCATTTCACTTTAATATGAATCAAATTGTCCCGAAGTGCTATAGGGTGGGGTGGGTTAGAGGGGAATTAGTAGCCATTTAAGTTTTCTTTCTTATTGTACAAAATGTTGCCAACTTTTTTCAAAATAAATACGTAAAACACTAAATTACAAAAAAAAAAAATAAATAAATAAATAAAATTAATAGGCCTATGAATCAAATGATAACAGAAGAGAAAAAGTCAGATCAGGCAGACATAACTAGAAAGTGCATTTTTTTTAATAACATGCCAAATTAGTTTAGAGCAGAAAAATATTAAATTAGATTAGTGGTTTTACCAAGTAAAATAATAAAACTAATATAAATGCAACCAAATTAAATTAATAAAAAAACGGTAACATTTTAAGGTACAATGTCCTTGTTACTACTGTGGTAGCAACTTTAATTTACGCATAACAAACCCTAATATTAACCATACAGTATTACTTGATACTCAGCACTTAAATGTGTAAATTACAGACACTTTAAAATAAAGTTTAACCATAAAACGAATAAATATAAGGCCTATTAATATGGTTTTGTGATCACAGACAAATTCTATCTAGATCTAACAAACGAGTTTAGGTTAAAAAATACTAATATGATTGTTACATATGTTGCATGCAGTTACTTTAGTAATTACTAAAATATCCATAACTACATGCAAATAACCCCAAACCCGCATGCTACGGGCCTACATGTAATATTACTCAGTATTCACATTTCGAATTACAGTGCAACAAAGACACAATTAAAAGAAAGAAAAATATGATTATATGAATATTATTAGTATGCTAAATATACCTGGTGTTGTCCTGCGTGTCGGCGAGCCGCTCCTCGTCGCGTCGCGTTGATTGTTCTCTGCAGAACTTTGTGACCTGTGCTCCCTCCGCCGGTCCATCATTCATCAGTGTCAATCGATATATGGATCACAGTTATCAATGACCACCAGGAGAAACTCTGCGTTCCGTGCCACACACACCACACACACACACACACACACGCAGAAAACGCGTCGGTTTACGTGGTAAAGTATGTCAGACAATAAGCGCAATAAATGGATATTATATTTTTAATTTATATATATTTTTTATTTGGTCACAAAAGTGGATATTTTCAAAACAATATGCTACTAATAGAGCATCAAAGCAATTGCACACTTAAAAAAATTATTAGGCTATAAAAACTATTTTTGTAAGAAGAGCAGGTTATACAGGCCTATACAATTCTAAACAATGTCCATATCTGACCCAAATTTGGGTTGAAACACAGTTGTTTCAACCCAAATTTGGGTCAAATATGGACAAACCCAAATGTTGGGTTAAAAATGTAATTAAAACTTACAGTTGAAAGTGAAGTTGAAGTTGGGTTAAAATTTTAAATTACATTTTTAACCCAACCTTTTTAGAGTGTGGTTAGAATGCTATGATGTTCCATCGTTTGTTTGGATGTTAATTTGGTCATGAGATGCATTTTCCGTATTAATTTAAAGAATAACAGCATTCATATTAATAATAATAAACACACTCTAAAACTGCTGGGTTGTTTTAACCCAGCTTTGGGTCAAATATGGACAAACCCAAACGTTGGGTTAAAAGTGTAATTAAAAAATTTAGTTAATCCATATTTGACTCAAAGTTGGGTTAAAACAACCCAGCAATTTTTAAAGTGTATTATTTAAAAAATATTAATATAAAGGGTAGTATAGACCAATATAAAGTTAACACTTTATTTTACAGTGTCCTTGATACATAATGTATATGAACTTACCGTATATTATGCATAATTACATGCAACTAACCCTCAACCAAACCTCCTACACTCACACTGCTGGGTTGTTTTAACCCAAATTTGGGTCAAATATGGACTAACCCAAATGTTGGGTTAAAAATGTAATTTAAAATTTGTCTAACTTCAACTTTCACTTTCAACTGTAAATTTTTTAATTACATTTTTAACCCAACATTTGGGTTTATCCATATTTGACCCAAATTTGGGTTGGACCAACCCAGCATTTTTTAGAGTGTGTATATAGTTGCTTAATATAAAATCAGTGCTTAAATATATAATTATATAATTACACTCACTGTAACACTGACACTTTATTAAAATAAAGCGTGACGTATACTATACAAGTAATTAATATTACTCAGTACTTATCTACGTCACCTTAAAATAAAGGGTTACACTTTATGTTAATAAGGTGTCAGTGTTAAAGTGTAAGGCTATACATTAAACCATGCACTTTAGGTTTAGGATTATGGTTGTAATTATGCATAATTAATAGTTATTAATATAGTGTAACAATGACACTGTAAAATAAAGTGTAACCTAAATAAATAATGTGCTATTGGTCAGATATTTGTGTATGAGCTCATTTATCTGAGAAAGTGAACTCATCCGCACCAGTGATAGTAGAACAGACGAGACTTCAGCACTGAGGCCAGCGCACGTCATCACACACACACACAGATGCGCGCTCTCGTTCAAAGACAGACGCGCGTCCCGCCTCTCAGTAGAAGCGCTGTTGCGCAGGGAACGAGCCACACGCGCACGGAACGCTCCGCGATTAAACCCGAACAAAAGCTCCCGCGCGTCGGACTGACTGACTCTTTCAAATCGATGGATTGGTTTTGAAATCGTTGCGGGGGAAAATACGGTGTTTTTGTTCGCAGGTCTTCCCTTCCCTTTCCTTCCCTTTCCTTTTCAACGATGGAACTCACGATGGAGAACATTGGCAACATGCACGGCGTTGCGTCGCACTCGCAAGCGGGGGATTTGATGAATCCCGCGCACGGAAGACCCTCGTCGGCTTCCCATCGGAACCTGGTGTCCCACGGGCGCTCGGCGATGGTGTCCAGCATGGCGTCGATCCTGGAGGGCGCGGGCGAGTACCGGAGCGACCCCGCGCTCTCCGGACACCTGCACCCGGCCATGACCATGTGCGAGTCCGGCATGAGTTTATCCAACACCTACACCACTCTCACACCTCTGCAACATCTGCCTCCTATCTCCACGGTCTCAGAGAAGTTCCATCACGCGCACCCGCACACGCACCCGCATCACCACGCCGCGCACCAGCGCCTCGCCACCGGGAACGTCAGCGGGAGTTTCACGCTCATGCGCGATGATCGCGGCCTCGCTTCAATGGGGAACTTATACGGGCATTATCCTAAAGACATGTCCGGGATGGGTCAACCCCTATCCCCGCTTTCCAACGGCCTCGGGTCTCTCCACAACTCCCAGCAAGCGCTTTCCGCGTACGGACCGGGCGCGCACCTTCCCAGCGATAAGATGCTCTCGCCGGGCGGCTTCGAGACGCACGCGGCGATGCTCTCGCGAAGTGAGGAGCACTTGAGGAGTTTAGGTGGGCACGGGCACGGTATGATCTCGAATCTGAACGGCATGCACCCTCACAGCCACATGCACTCGCAGGGGAACGGATCCATGCTGTCCGACAGAGAACGGCACGGCGGCGGGGGCGCGCAGAGCGCGGGCGCGGGACAGGTGGAGGAGATCAACACAAAAGAAGTGGCGCAGAGGATCACAGCAGAGCTCAAGAGATACAGCATTCCTCAAGCTATTTTCGCACAGAGGATCTTGTGTCGTTCCCAGGGAACGCTGTCGGATCTCCTGCGTAACCCGAAGCCCTGGAGTAAACTCAAGTCCGGGCGCGAGACTTTCAGGCGGATGTGGAAGTGGTTACAGGAGCCCGAGTTTCAGAGGATGTCCGCGTTGAGGCTTGCAGGTAAGGCAGCTTTACATCGGCAGGATTTAATTTACTCTGGGAGATAAACAACACGATCTCATGAAAGTGCGGATCTATTATTTCTCGTGCCATTTATGCGCCAAAAATGTTGCGTGCATATGTAAACCCTTCGGGTAGGATTAGGGGTGTGTGGAGTGTGTATCACATGCACGCGAGGGCGTATAAATGGCACGATAAATAAAATTCGTGGTATACACAAATACGCGCTTTCATGAGATCTGATAAAATGCATTTTAAACTCTTAAATAAGGCGTCATATTTGCTTCAGCTAACGCGAAAATAATCTAAAGAAGTGAATCAATCAAAACTAACTTTATCTGGACAATAACTTTATTCTAGATCTGCTAACACTCTCTGATATCCCTGTAAAGCTGATGTGAAACTCTATTGTTAAAGCGCTGTGGCCTGTAGGCGAAATGAAGGTGATAACGATAAATAACCTTTATTTCTAAGCGTGTTTTGACGTATTGAATTATATCCTCACGAGACTCTAAATAATCTCAGGAGTTTCTGACTTTGTTACAGAACAGGGCTTTGATTTTATACATGAACACTATAGAGACACCAGCATGTTCATCCCACACAATAAGTGAAATTAGATATCAATATTCCCAATGAAATATTAGGAATTGTTATGAGATGTGGCCAAATATAACTCCCATTATATTTACCTATGGCCATTTTATACACAAATTTTGCATAAATGGTAAATCAATTTTTAGTTGGGAGTCATCTTTATACAAAGTTTGGTAAAAAACAAAACAAAACAAACCTGAAACTTAAAAATTGATTGAATTTCCCGGTGTCCACTACAGCATAACATATGAATAAAATATATAATATATTTGTTTATGCTCTAAATAATGACATTAGAAAAATACTGAATTCACTTTTCTTCTGGGTCTCAGAAGGATATTGCAATTTTGTATCATAATATTATTATTATGCAAGCAAAATAGCCTACTCTCTAAAACAGCGTTAAAGTTGTGTAATTGTATTAATAGTTTAATTCAGAACGATTTGTTTTCGAAATGCACACTGATCTAGCACAATAACTCACACATATAGGCCTGTAGATGTGCTTGTTGTGACATATATCATTTTAATATTGTCTTGTCGGCAAAGGGTTCTTAAATTATATTTATAGCGACATTTCTGAGCGACCTTGCTGTGAGTTGACTTTAAAGCACCTGCACTTTCCTAATGGAGCCTAAAAGGCCGTTTTACTGCACGATAGGGTTGTAATAATTTTAATACAAGCCAAAAACACGTTTCTGTTTTGCGCTTTCGAGGCGTTTTCCTGAAGTGACGCGCGTTGTTTTAGAGAGTGTGGA